CGCCTCTGGGAGGCTGCTCCTCCCGGACGCAGCCGGGCTTTCCTCTAGCTGCGGGCTCCGGCCGCCGCCCACCTCTCCGCGTCCGGTGGAGGCGCCCTGGGCGGCCAGCACTGTAGCCCTGGGCCGGCCTCCATCCGCGGCGCGGTAACCTGTGTGTGGCTCGGAGGCTGATTTCCTGTCCGGCTTTGGTGTTCCAGTGCGCCCAGAAAAAGACCCGGGGTTCCAGGCAGCCCGCTAGTTGTCTCGCAGTCCAACTTCCAACGCTATGTCCGCAGCCTCTGTGCCGGGCATTGCTCGCAGCGGCTCAGGCCCTCCTCCAGGCCACGTTCCACGGATTGCTTTCCTCCCTCACTGCTTTTAATACGGTAAAGTCTTGGATCACAGCGGACCGAGAGTAAAATAATCTGCCTGTGCCTCATAGATCTCTAAGCACCTCAGAGACAGCGTGTAACGTAAAAGAAATTCTTAAACTCAGAATGCAAAAAATCAGCCAGTACTGAAGTCCTCTTAAGACTCCTGCCCAATACAGTAGCCATATGTGACTATTGAGCCCTCGAAATGTGACTAGTAGGAATCGAGATGCATTGTGAGTGTAAATCATGCACCTGGTATCTAAGACCAACTCATTAATTTTATGTTAAGTGTTGAGACGATAATATTTTGATATATTGAGTTAAATTATTAAAATTATTTCACTGTTGTTTTACTTTTTAAATTTGACTAGCTACTAGAAAATTTTAAATTACACAGGTAGATAGCACTGCTCTAAAATGGAAAGAAGTGGCACTTCGGATAGTAAAGTTTCTTAGTCTTTAAATCGGCCCAGGGAGATGTTTTAATCTAGTACTAAATGTTTCTGTTTGTTTCTTTAGCCTAGATGAGTTTATATAGTTTCTCCATTGTTTTATGTTTAGACAGTGTTTATTATTTCAAGTGATTTCCTTTTAAATAATCCATGACCTCCCTTGAGAGATTTCAGAATTGAATTCAATTTTGAACAGAAGTTTTCGATTTTATTAGTGCTATTTATTATAGTTAATATTAATCAAATGAGCTACCTCAATCTACAGTTAAATGATAAACTACAACTAGAAAAGAGTTTAATGTCCTTTGAGAACCAATCCTGGATTCTCTGTACATTTAATTTTATCTGGGTAAGTCAGTGAGAAAGAACCGGGCTTAGAAACCAAATTTTCATTGTTGAAAGTTACTGTTTGATAAAATTATAGGAGGATAGTATGCTAGCATGGAAATAACACTACAAGTGGAAAATTCAAAATATCACTGCTGTAGTTAATCAGTTCAGACATACTTTACCTTACATATTGCTGTCTTCAGTGTACAGCATGGTTTTACTTAATTGAATGTTACGGACATACTTTAAAAAAACATTTAAACACATTTTAACATTTCTGAAATGGAAGTGCATTTCACAGTCAGTGGCATCTTACAACCAATTGGTAGGGTTTTTTTTTTCTTAGTTGTATATAAAATAATGGTGCATCCTTATATGTCCATGTATGACTGAAAAATTGTACTGAACACTGGAATTTGAAAAAAAAAATAATGGTGCATCTTACAATTAATGCAGTCTTAGATTTGATGAACTACCTCAATTGGTCAGTTAAAGCATTTTGGCCATATTCTCTATTTCTCCAAAGTGTTTTTGGGAACCTTACAACAAAAGATTTCATACAGTCTGATCAATGACATGGAAAATGAGGCCAAAAAAGGTGAATGCAGATATTCTTAAGAGTTAACAAAATTCCTCTAATTAAATATAATCAGTAGATTAAAGATCAGCGATGTTGGACTTAAGCCTAGTTAAACGTGGTCTGTCCAAACTTGGTTTATGATTTTAAAGCAGCAGCTTTAGAATGTATAATCCTAACATTCTATAGATACGGTGAAAGTATAAATTTCTTCCATGTAACCCAGCAGCATAGGAGGCTAGCAGAGACCCTGTCCACTGCTTTCACGTTTGGCAGCTAACATTGTTTTGGTTGTTTGTCTAACAGGCCCTCCTCTCTTTTAGAAAACAAATCCAACCAAGTTCAAGACTTCTGACTTTTTCCAGTAGCAATCCAGTAATATTTTATATTATTATTACTGGATTGTATTTGAATTCATATATTTTAAGAATTACAGTTTTTAGAGGTAAATAAAACCCAAATTTGACTGTCATTTAATGGTCCTAGATAGTTTAGTTATAAAACCTTAACAAGAAAAGAATTCAACATGTCTGACTCAAACCAAATAATTGAAACCAAGTATTTGAACCAAATCCAAACCAAAATAATTAAACTGTAGCTGATTCCAACTGAAACTGAAATGAAATTTTATTGTTTCTAGTACCACGTCCCAGAAAAGATAAAAGAGACTGGGAGAACACAGGTACATTGGTTACCTCAGAGAAACAAAACAATTAAACTTTAGCAAGTTGATACTCTGTTATATTGTGCCCCAAATGCCTATATTTAAAAGTTCGTGTTATATTTTTAAAAGCTGTAACATTTTCAATAATAAGGATTCTTGATTTGGGTTGTGTCTAAGAAAAATGTCATATTTGATGAGATTTCTAGAAAAAATAAAGTTTAAAATGTGACACTGAAAAGCTATGTACAGAAAAAAAGACTAAAAGAAATTACACCAGATGATTATGAGTACTTATCTTTGAGGAATGAAATGTGTTGATTTTTAAAAACCTGCCTTTTTACATTGTTGATTTTCTAAAATGAGCATTACTATTTCTATGAAGGAAAATAACCACTTTTCTATTTATAAATGAGTTAATAAATGATGAAAGACCCTATAGAAAATTTTCATCATTTATATTTTTTTAATTATGACTGTTACAGTCACTTTGGGAGATAATTTGGCAGTCTCTTAAAAAACTAAATATATTCTTACCATACAATCTCCAACAATTGCACCCCTTGGCATTTAGCCAAATAAATTGTAAATATATCCATACAAAAACCTGCCCATGGTTGTTTGTAGCAGCTTTATTCACAAATGCCAGAACTTGGGCGCAACCAAGATGTCCTTCTGTAGATGAATGGATAAATCCATTGTCTGGTACATTCAGGCAATGGGCTGTTATTCAGTGCTAAGAAGAAATGAGTTATCAAGTCATGAAAAGACATGGAGGAAGTTTAAATGCATACTACTAAGTAAAAGTTTAAATGCATACATGTAGCCAATCTGAAAAGGCTATATCCTGTATGATTCCAACTATATGACATTCTCAAAGAGGCAAAACTATGGAGACAGTAAAAAGATCAGTGATTGCTGGAGGAGAGAAAGGGGAGGATGAATCAGCAGATCACAGAAGATTTTTAGGGCAGTGAAGCTATTTTGTATGATACTATAAAGGTGGACACATGTGTTATACATTTGTCAAAAACTATAGAATGTACATCAAGAGTGAACCCTAATATTAACTATAGACTTTGGGTGATTGTGATATGTCAGTGTTGGTTCATCAGCTGTAACAAATATGGGTTGGTGCATGGTGTTGATAGTGGCGGAAGCTATGCATGTGCTGGGCAGATATGTGGAAACACTGTACTTTAGCTCAGTTTTGCTGTGAACCTAAAACTGCTCTGAAAATAGTCTTTTAAAAAAAAATTAGTGAGTGCTCCACTTTAAAAAAAAAGCATTGTAAATATTATAAGTATATGAATTAGTGAGATAAACTAGTTTGTCATCAAATCCCAGGGCTTTCTACCTTTTTGGCACTCAAATATTTGTTGAACAAGTGAATTTGTTTACTTAACCTAATCTACTTTGGAAAAAGTCACTAGAAAAATTGCTGAACTTTCTCCTTTGTTTGCAAATACTTTATATATATTTTTTTTTCTTTGTGGAAAAAATACACATTAACTACCCATACCCCTCTTTAATATTACAAAATTAGACCACAGAGTTGGAGTAACTACATATTAGTTTACCTAATCACAATCTGAAGACCAGCTCCAAAACCCATACTCTACTTGGCAGAGTCAACAGTGTAATTTTTATGTCAATATTGGACATATAGTTGATCCTTGAGCAACAGGAGTTTGAACTGCAAGGATCCACTCATATGCAGATTTTTTTCCCAGTAAATACTGACTATAGTAACTACATGATCCAAGGTTGGTTGAATCCAAGGATGTGAAACCTCAGATACAGAGGGCTGACTGTAAAGTTATATGCAGATTTTTTTACTCTGAGGCTATCAGTGCCCTTAAACCCAGAGTTGTTCAAGGGTCAGCTGTATTTTCCAACTTTGCCATTATCATGAAGAATCTTTCATATAAATATTTTAAAGATCACAATTCAGTTCCCTACATTAATGTGTTACCGTGTGTTATTGTTGTCTTTTTAAATGGTAGGTATATTGTAAATTTTCAGGCCTATAAAAACTTTTCTTAAAAAAAGGAAGGAAGGAAGAAAGGAAGGAAGGAAGGATGGATGGAAGGAAGGAAGGAAGGACGAAAAGAGAAAAGAAAAGGATCCTCCAGAAACTGGGCAAATTTGAAGTTTCAAAAACAAAATTAGAATCAGTTGATCCAAAATTTGTGGTGCTAATGCCAAAAGAAGCAATTTACCACTTGTCCTTTTTCCCCTTCTAAGCATGTTTGAAATTAGTAGGAAAATGCCTTCTTTATTTGTCAGCACCAGTGCTTGACCTACAGTGGTTTTGTTACCCATGAAATGGCAACTTTGCAAAGGCCTTCAGATCCTAAGATACTATATCACTATGAATAGTCTTCAAGTGTGCAAAGGTTCCAGGCAAATTGTTAGTTCAGGGCCTGATGTTGATAAAC